ACAGCAGGGCAGGAGCAGCAGTCGACAGCCCAAGGGGCCGGCGGCTCGAACAGCATCGAGCCGTCGGAGGCCAGGGGAGGCGCTGGAGGACGGGCACGAGGAAGGCTGGGACGGGGGGGTTAGACGGGGAGGGAGGGAGAGAAGGAGCTCAAGACTCGGATAAGAAAAAACGGCATGAGCATGCTCTGGGATAAGCGTGGGGGGGTACCCCCCCGACGGGGGTCAACCTCGCCTCGTCGTCGCGCCGCGACGGGGGTCGGAGCGCCTTCGGCGCGCGGTGGCTGCCGGCGACGGGGGTCGATGCGGGGCTGTCGGCGGGGGTGACGCTCCCCCGACGCTTCTCAAGAAACTCGGAGTAAGCTTTCGGCGCTCCGCGCGGACTTCTTGCATCCGCGCTGGGCCCCCGCGGGCGCCGCCCCTGGCGCGCTCCGAGCGCCAGGGAGGGGGGTCCAGCGCGAATCCAAGAAGTCCGTGCGGACCGAATGGCGGGACGGTGGTCCAGTTTCTGGGAGATCTGTGCAGGAGCGCCAGCTCTCTCACTAGACTTGTTCCGTACATATACGTCCTTTGCCAGGCAGGTTCCATGCTTCTAGCACCCAAGGAGGAGGATAGTTTTCCTCGTTTTGAATCACTGCCGTCTCTCTCTCCTCCTCCCACCTCCTCATCTCCTCGTTGCCTTCCTGGGAGCTACCAGCTGCTACCACATGCGCAACTGCTGCCGCTTTCGTGAGCTCCTGGGAGGTCAGCGGGGTGGCGTCTTACAGGGGCCCACAGGAGACATCACCCTTCCTGATTGCTGCCATCCGCGCAACCGTCGCCGCTTTCTCGAGCTCCCGGGAGGTTCAGCGGGGCGACGTCTTCCGAAGGCCCAGATGAGCCGTGTCTCCTTACGCAGTGGAAGCGAGAACTCCTCCTCCTCCTCCTCCTCCTGCTCCTCCTCCTCCTCCTCCTCCTCCTCCTCCTCCTCCTCCTCCTCCTCCCACTCCTCCTCCGTGGGTGCTACTGGATGTGCAGCGGTCGTCAATTTCGTGAGCTCCTGGGAGGTCCAGCGAAGTGCCGAGCTACGCAGATCAGACGAGACCCCGCCTCCCCGGGTGATGCCAACTCCGCGCTGGGCCTCGTCATCCCGAAGTGCTGCTCGGTGCGCAGCTGCCGCGGCTGTGCTGTGCTCCTGGGGGGTCCCGCGGCGTGGCACGTTGGGCAGATCGAGCGAGACCTCGCTTGCCTTGTGTGTGTTGTCATTTTCACAGCTGTCGCCATTCCTGCTCGTGCACTGGAGTCCAACGGGGGGGGCGTCTTTCGCAGATCCGGGGAGCGACGTATTACGCGGCTTAGGCTAGATCTCCCTCCCTGGAGATGCAGCAGAGATGCGTATCACGCGGATCAAGGCTGCTGCCAACTGCGCAATTTCGCCGGCGGCACCACCGCCACCAGCGGGGCCACCTCCAGCGAGGAGGTCCACGATGCCTCCCCGAGCTGGGGACGGGATGTCTCGAGCGAGGGGGGGAGGACCACACGCCCACACCATCAGGGAGGCCCCTCCCTGGATCTTGCCGCTGGTGGCCCCTGGTGGTGGTGTTGGTGCCGCTTTTCCCTGCTCCTGCCGGTGGAAGGACGCTCCCCTCGGCCTCCCCACCTGGTGCTCGCCCTCCTCTCCTCTCGTCTCAGGAGGGAAAAAACACAGACACAACGAATCGTCCATTCCCGGAAGATACGGGAAAATGTGGGAAGTGGGGGGGAAGGCAAAAGCCCAGAAACTATGGGGAAATATGGGGAATCCTGTTATTTGTGTGTGTATATATATATATATATATATGTGTGTGTGTGTGAGTGTGTGTGTGTGTGTGTGTGTGTGAGTGTGTGTGTGTGTGTGTCGGGGCCCCTTCCTCGTCGCGCGACCGCCTGGGGTGCCCATCTGGTGAGGAGCAGCGGGGGAGCCGTGGCCGCCGCCTGGCAGCGCCGGCGGGGCCTCCAGACTGGGCCCCTATGGGGGGAGCGCGCCCACGCCCCACGCCTTCTCTTCACCTCCCCGCCCCCCTGGCCCCTCCCCTCCTTCCATCCCCACCTTACCCCTCCTCCTCCTCCTCCTTTTCCTCTTCTTCTTCTTCTTCTTCCTCCTCCTCCTCCTCCTCCTCCTCCTCCTCATCCTCCCTGTGACGAAGTCTGAGCTCTACCTCCGCCGCTTGTGATTTTTGAGCCCCCACCTGCGTTCCAGGGACCCCTGGATTTGCACAAGCAGGGGTGGGACTCACGTGTGGCTGCCCACCCTCCCCGCGGCGCGACCCCCAGCGCTGACCGAGCGGGAGAACTGGCGCACCGACCAGGAGCTGAAGAACTCGAAGGCGACCGGCCGTCCGGTTAATTATTGTCGGGCCGGACGAAAGGGGGGGATTGGGAAAGGGGGGTTTACGAAATCTGCTGCATGCAGCTGGTTTCGGCTCCACCGAGGGGCCCATTCCTCGATACACAGCCGCCTCTGGCGCCGGGAGGCGCCGGGAAT